TTACAATAGCTAAGATATGGAAGTGACAGTGGATCAGGATCACAAATCAGCAGCAACAGAGCTGTAGTAACAACCAGCTATGTAAACTGGGAAGGGGAAGCTAGCTTAACAGGGGCCTCCTGGGGCATTCGATGACCACTTTCAACCTGAACTCAAGGGAGGAGATACATGTACACGTGTGTGTATCCATACATATGTGTGTGTATGTGTACATCTGTAAACCCATCAGTTCTTGTCTCTTGTCCACTCTATCCTAGATTAACAGAAAGGGCAGAAAAGGGGAGGGAGGGTAGGTATAATATACTTAGAAGTAGTTGGGACTGCTAACAAGCTTCATGGATGGGTTTGGAGAAAATCTCCTCAAATCCACTTGAATGGCTCCTCCCTGAAGGCCTGTGGGGTCCACAGGACAATGGCCTTCCCAAAGATGTCCACATCCTTGGCAGCTGTGAATTCATAACCTATATGGCAAAAGAGAGTTTGTAGATTGAAGGTCATGGACCTTGAGATGGGAAGATTATCCTGAATTCTTGGGGTCTGGCTACTCCTTAAGCAGAGCCTTTCTAACTAAAGCGATGCTGAGAAAGAAGAACAAAGCTGTTGGTACCACACACCTAGTTTCAAACTATACTACAAAGCTACAGTAATCAAAACAGTATGGTACCTGCACAAAAACAGATACTTAAACGAATGGACCAGAACAGAGAGCCCAGGCCTATATGGTCAATTAACCTATGACAAAGGAGTCAAGAACATACAATAGGAAAAGACAGTCTCTTCAATAAGTGGTGCTGGGAAAACTGGACAGCTATTTGCAAAAGAATAAATCTGGATCATGTCTTATACCACATACAAAAATATTAAAAATGGATTAAAGACCTAAATATAAGACCTGAAGCCACAAAACTCCTAGAAGAAAACATAGACAGTACACTCTTAAACATCAGCATTCATAATTTTTTTTGGATCTGTCTTCCTAGGTAAGGGGGAAAAAAAAAATCTCCCCTACAGCAAAGGAAACCATCAATAAAATGAAAAAGCAAACTACTATATGGGAGAAGATGTCTGCAAGTGGTATGTCTGATAGGGGGCTAATATCCAAAACATATAAAGAACGCATACAACTCAACATCAAAAAACGGAGTAGTCCAATTAAAATATGGGCAAAGGATATGAATAGGCATTTTTCCAAAGAAGACATGGAGATGGTCATCAGGCACATGAAGAGATGCTCCACATCACTAATCATCAGGGAAATGTAAATTAAAACCTCAATGAGATATCACTTCACATCAGTCAGAATGGCGACTATCAACAAGACAAGACATAACAAGTGTTGGCGAGGATGTGGAGAAAAGGGAATCCTTGTACACTGCTGATGGGATTGCAAACTGGGGCGGCCACTATGGAAAGCAGTATGGAGGTCTCTAAAAAAACTGAACTAGAAATACCATATGATCCAATTCCACTTCTGGAAATTCACATGAAGAAAACAAAATCACTAATAGGAAAAGATATATATGCACCCCTAAGTTTATCACAGCATTATTTACAACAGCCAAAATACAGAAGCAACCAAACTGTCCATCAATGAATGGATAAAAAAATATGGCACAATATATATATGCAATGTACTACTACTCAGCCATAGAAAAGGAAGCCATTTGCGACAACATGGATAGACCCAGAGGGTATTTTGCTAAGTGAAGTAAGTCAGAGAAAGACAAATTCCATATGATTTCATTTATATGTGGAATCTTAAAAACAAAACAAATGAACAAACAAACTGAAATGGACTCACAGACACAGAGAACGGAGCAGTGGTTGACATGGGGAGAGTGGGTGGGGAGATGGGTGACATAGGTGAAGCAGAAAAATTAGTGAGAATGTTTGATATGTTGATCTGGGCAATGGTTACATGAGAGTAAACACATGTCAAAATGCATCAAGATGTACATTAAAAAAATAAAAACAAAACTTAAAAGCACAGCCTTCTGGCTGAGGTCAGAGAGACAGAGGAGATTCAAAGTGTGAAGGGGACTAGACTCACTGCTGATAGCTTTGAAGAGGAAAGGAGTCATGAGTCAGGGAACTGAGCAATGAAAAAGGGGACCTCGGTCCTATACCCGTGAACCTGGACAACCACCTGCATGAGCCGGGGACACGATTCTCTCCAGAGCCTTCCGGTAAGACCTTGATTTCAGCACCGTGGGACCTGCAGCAGAAACCAGCTGAGCCTCATGGATTTCCAACCCACAGAACTGTGTGATTATACATTTATGTTGCTCTAAGTCTCCAAAGGCACCCGGCACGGGCTGGAGCAGGGCTGCAAAGGGCCCTGGGCTTGAGGGGCCAGCACATCCTGCCACCACGTCTCAGTGCTCTTAGGGGCTTGCCCAGCTGTCAGAACAGGCTGTGCCCACCACCTCATCCGACTGGGCCATGTGGCTGCCAAGCTCCTGAAGGTGGAGGACAGGCCTGGGTAACACCCGCCAAGGGGGACATGTCAGCACCTAGGTTTGGCAATGCTGTTTGCAAAGGCAGAGGCTGACACTTACACGAGTTTTCAAAAACCTGGCCATGGGGAGACCCTGAGAATGATATTTTAAGGAAAAATAAGCTAAAATTTATTCTGAACCAAATAAGAGCCTTTCTGTGTTTCCTCCTCTAGTTTCTCTAGCACAGTCAGCACGCCACTTCAGATACACTGTCACTCTCTCCGTGAGCAGCATTTGTCTGTTGCCCTTACTGGAGAACACAATGCTCTTGATTATACAGGCTGTGAGCACAGCCAAACATGAGAATGAGCAGACATGTGTGCTCTAAAAGAAGGTCTGACAGAGCCTGCCCACTGCATACACTGTCACAAAAAGAGGCCTCTGAAGTCACTCCCACCAGGCACGGAAGCAGTATTTGGCACTGAGGGTTCTCACTTACATGCCATGAGATTGATTTTGTCAGTAGAACATTGTCAAGTACAGAATGGTAGACTGTTGCAGGGCAAAAAACTGAGATGCAGAAGGATTAAAAGAAATGAACCCTGACCTCATACTCAACTGTGGTGGAGCAGGAAAGAAAACACTTTTGCCCCAGTCCAGGACTTGCAAGCTGGACTCCTGGGATTATGATATAATCAGACCCACAGAGTGGGCTGTCGGTAGTGGAAATCATGAGCAGCCTCTAGGTAGTGGCAGCAAAAAAAACCCTCATGAAGACAAGGCAGTGACAAACCCCGCCACACACAGCTCCTCTCTGCACTGGGGGGAGTCTTGCCCACGGGGAGCCCTGGAGAGCCATACGGAACAGCAGTAGCTGAGGTAGCCTGCAGCCACTGGGACAGAGCAGCTGAAACCCCCTGCCTCAGGCCAGCCTTTCACCTCCCCTACCCGCTGGGAGAGGCCCCTGCACGGGTGTCCTGTGCAGGCACACGGTCTCAGGAAAGGTACAGGTGCCAGGAACAGAGGTGGGGCGCTGGCTGAGGCTGCCGCGCTCCTGAGGCTTCAGAGAGCATTCCAGCTGGCAGCCCAGACCTCAGTTCTGGTTCTGAGGGGCATTTATAAAACTTACCACCACCAGTATGTTTTTGTGATGTAATTGATTTCCTGAAAGACTTAGACAAGCCTCTTCTTGGGAGAAGAAAAGGCAAGGTTTGGCTGAAAGGTATGCCGAAGCAATGTGCCATGAAAATAGAAGGGTGCTCACAGTGATGGTGGCGACGGCCACCCCGGCAGGGCTGGGAGCAGAGGCGAAGGCTGACATTGCCCGCGGGACCTGTTCTTAGCTGCCACAGAGACTGAGGCTTCCATTGCCAGGCCCACCTTCTCTTCTGGCACCTTCTGGCTAACTCTAGCTTTCCAGATCACTCACAGAAGACAGGACGTACCTGCGAAATGTATTCACCAAGTCTGGGTATGTCTTCCATGTGTCCCTGTCCCCTTCTTGGCTGACTATAAAATCTGTACTGGCAACCAGCATTCTGAGCTTCCCAGAAACACAGAGGCACCACAAAGGAGACACTTTCATGTTATGTAATATATAGACGTATATAATATATATGACCACATCACACACACACACATGCACGCATGTACGCATACACAGCAGGTCCCAGGGACATGGGCCAATTTAATAACTAACTGATGTGCCTGATATGTACAGCTTAGTAAAGTTCTTCATTATTTAAGAATTCTCTGTGAGAAACAGATTACTCCTGGGAGTGATGGAAGTTCAAGCTCGGTCTACCTGGTTATTTGAAGAAAAGGAGAGCGAGGTCCCAGATGGACCAGGTCAGAGGGGCTGGCTGGCCAACTGCACCAATTAGAGGGAAACCTAGGGGAGGGCGTGGGAGCCCATTCAAGCATTTAACAGGTGAACATTTTTCTTTCAAGTTCAGAATACATGGTACAAGTAGTCTATGTATACTGATTGACAAGATGGGATTAATCCAGTATTTGAGATTGACCATTTTTAGTCTATTCAGGGCTGTGAAAAGGTGTTCTGTCCTGGCAATAATACAGTTACCTGTTCTGAAGGCATGCCAACTGCACCCCCAAACAGAACCCATAGAGGGCCAGAGGATTCCCATGTGCTGACTGCACCAAGGAGGGGGCCCCACCAGGGCATCCGTAAACACTCCGTTAGGACCACCTGCTGATCAAAATGAAGTCAGTTGGCACTAGAAGCCCTACTTCTTCCCAAATGAACCAGATTTAACACAAATCAATTTGGGTTTCTGGGGCTGGGGAAGAATTCACACTTGGTTTTCTAAAGAGCACTTCAATTTAAATAAGGATAAAGGAGTCACTTCAAGGTTCAAGTTTTCAGACGCTATTACTCGGTCAAGTGAACACTAGGATGCTCTTTGGATGCCTTACAGAACAAAACAGAATATGATTTCTGGGAAGAAAAGCCAAGGTAAGAGAACAGGTAACTGAGCAGAAGGTCTGTCCAATACTTAACACGTTAGCACTGTACAGAGGCAGGGCCACCAGAAAGGATATCTTGCAGGACTGTCCTTCAGGGCATTTAGGAATCCTGTTTGCTGTGAACCTGTGGGAATAAAAGACAAAATTTAGCACCAAACATTTACCTCTATGAAAACATTCTTCATGCCAGAAGCTCTGACATCTACATAAAAACAACAGGTGTCTAAAGATCAATTCAATAATTAGATTTTGTATGTGTTACAGCACCCAGTGTATGATCAGAGATTGAGATTCCACTAAAGTTGTTCAACAAGAAAATAGCAGATTCATAACAACATCCAACATCTGCAGGATTTTTCCATAAAAGCAGATGGATCGGCATACTTTCCCATAAATTATAGTTCTGATTACTTCTTTGTTTTCTCCATTTTAATAAGAAAACAGAATACTGTATGTTATTTTTTTCTCTTCTTTTATGAAAGACTGTTTCCTAAAGTTTGTTAACTTTTGACCCTGGATGTCCTATAAACTATGCTACATATAAAAGACGTCTTTCTCTGGACCCAGAGTAAACAAACTCATAAAGCTGAAGTTTATTACTGACTCCTTTTGAGTTTAAGCCATTTTAATACAAACAGTCTGTTCAAGAAAATAATTCTTTAGGGGCTTAAGTAAAGATGCATCTGATAAGCAATTTTTATTTCATGTATTGACATTACGGTTTCTGAAAACAAATGCCCACAGTGAGGAGCTCTTGGTGCCCCCATCTTGAGGTGGTCATGTCCGTTCCCCGTGTGCTGCACGAAGCCATGTGTTTTGGGGACATAATCTGGCCCTGGGGTAGCGACGAGATGAACAGGGAGAGCTGAGAGGCCAGGCCGGGCGCTGGTGCACCTCTGCTGTGTGTGATGCTGGTGTGGCTGCAATGTGGGAGCTTGAGGCAGGGCCCCAGGCCCCTCTGTGTAGCGGGAAACTGCACCCGGCTACGGGTAGGCTGGGAGTGGGTTGGCGCCATCTTTGTCCTTGAGTTCCCATTCCCTCTGTGCCCCCCGGCCACCACTGAGGCGCCAGGATGCCAACCGGTGGAGAACTAATAAGGAAAGCTTAAGGCTTTCTTCATAAGGTCAGTAGGTCCAAACCAGCAAGTGGACCACAGCAGACCTCAGCAAACACCACCCTGCAGCAGGATGAGGGCCCTGAAAGAATGGTCTGCTTCCCTGCTGTACCCAGATCGACGGGCTTTTCCTAACTGTCCTTCTAGAAGGAATTCCAGATGTCATCTTCCCAGGGATCTTTGCAGTAACAGGCTTCTCTACCTGGCTGCCCTTCCCAGTCATGCTGTCCCCTCAGAGCCCACTTTCTGCATAGTTTCCAGAAACTCAGGTGGCCATTCCCCAGTGGCCCTCAGACAGCCATTTGTCTGCCTTTGCCAACACTTTCAGAATCTCAAGGATTCATGGGGACTGTGGAAAAGCCTCTGCCCTGCCCCAAAGCATCAAGGGCCCTACCAAGTGGGGTGGGGTGGGCTGTTTCAGGCAGTTCTCAGGGGGTTCAGAGCCAGAGGAGGAAGATCTTGATTTGCTTTTGTCTAAAATAATTGGATAACTTGCAAGGCTGATAAACTCCAGACTTTTTTGGTAGAAGACTGGATTAACAAAACAAAAGTTTAACTATAGCAAACTCCATTTTGCTGATGCCAGGATGAGAAAGACTTTAGAGGAGGTGAAAATGAAATGTACATTACAGCTCAACCATTTTGGTGGTAGGCAGCCAGCTTCACGGTGTGTGTGTGTGTGTGTGTCGTATGTGAGTGTGTGTGTGTTCCCAGTGTTTATGTGTGTAGTTCAGCAAATGAAAACTGGCCCTTGATATCCAGAATGCAGGGGCAATGTCATATATGCAACTTGATAATATATAAATTAAATGTTAACTCAATGTTTAAATACTATTTTTGGTGTCACAGATATGCTGGAATATCTGTACTTATTTCTTCTTGGGTTCTTCTCTCTACGTCTTTGTGAATTAAGACACAGATAGGACCTTGGCTACATTTTTGCCTTTTTTTGACTCTGTAAATAGAGAGAAAAGGTGCTTCATCAGTGCCACCATCGGCCTCTTCCCCAGGCAGCGTGGCAAGGTCTCCAACCTCTTTTTGCTGTCCCTCCAAGTTATGGCTCTCAAACACATTACAAATCTGTGTCACATTCAGATGAAAGGATTTCAGCCAGAAAGAATGGGAACTAGGATTTAAAATGCCTATGAAAATAGGATAGCCCATTTAATGACTCAATTTGACCAATATTTAAAAGACACTAATGTGAGACTATCCATACTACCCACTTGCCTGGCCGGGTGCAAACCTCACCAAAAGACAGGGGAGGAGAATGTGCGTTTCTAAAGGAGCTTCAGCACTCCATTTGTGGTTTTAGCGCTGCTTCCTGGAGAGAAAGTGAGGCATGTGTTCAGATATTTCCAGAAACATTCCAGAATGAGGCTCTGTACTTGCTAATGGGTTGCTGTACTTCAGGAATGTGGACAAGAGGCACTGCTGGTCTTTAAAGCTGCTAATGACCCTATAATGGAAGTTTAGAGGCTTAAATTTATAGTTCAAACCCAATTAACTTCCTTCTCATCATTGCCTATTGTGGGGAAGTGAGTGACCAAGAGATGAAAGGAATTCAAAGTTACGACCTTCAGAATGGGGAATGAAAAATGCCAGTTGCTTAGGCAAATATATATTAAAATAATTTATATCTGAATCTCATTTTTAATAAAGTGGCTTCCTTCATAAGCCAGGGATTTACTAATATTCTAGCAGATAATTGCACATCTTATTGAACGTATGTCTCTAACATATACAGATTTGTGTGTAAGAAAACCCTATCTTTATTCCCAGACATTTTCTTCTAGGACAGGTGACCATTCTTGCTTAAGTGAAAAGTTCTGCCATTGGATTGTTATCACTGTAGCACATTATCCTTTGTGCACAATGTAGGGATGGTTCTTCCAGGAGATCCTTTGGCAAAAGATAAAAGGCAAACCGCCGAGGCTGGAATAGGGTCCAGTGTATCAAGGAGAAGTGTCATGAGAGAGCCTTGTCTGGGGTGGTCCTGGCAGCTGTTGTGGATAGGCGGGGAGTAGTTCCCCGTGTGCTGCACGAAGCCATGTGTTTTGGGGACATAATCTGGCCCTGGGGTAGCGACGAGATGAACAGGGAGAGCTGAGAGGCCAGGCCGGGCGCTGGTGCACCTCTGCTGTGTGTGATGCTGGTGTGGCTGCAATGTGGGAGCTTGAGGCAGGGCCCCAGGCCCCTCTGTGTAGCGGGAAACTGCACCCGGCTACGGGTAGGCTGGGAGTGGGTTGGCGCCATATTTGTCCTGAGTTCCCATTCCCTCTGTGCCCCCCCGCCACCACTGAGGCGCCAGGATGCCAACCAGTGGAGAACTAATAAGGAAAGCTTAAGGCTTTCTTCATGAGGTCAGTAGGTCCAAACCAGCAAGTGGACCACAGCAGACCTCAGCAAACACCGCCCTGCAGCAGGATGAGGGCCCTGAAAGAATGGTCTGCTTCCCTGCTGCACCCAGATCAATGGGCTTTTCCTAACTGTCCTTCTAGAAGGAATTCCAGATGTCATCTTCCCAGGGATCTTTGCAGTAACAGGCTTCTCTTCCTGGCTGCCCTTCCCAGTCATGCTGTCCCCTCAGAGCCCACTTTCTGCATAGTTTCCAGAAACTCAGGTGGCCATTCCCCAGTGGCCCTCAGACAGCCATTTGTCTGCCTTTGCCAACACTTTCAGAATCTCAAGGATTCATGGGGACTGTGGAAAAGCCTCTGCCCTGCCCCAAAGCATCAAGGGCCCTACCAAGTGGGGTGGGGTGGGCTGTTTCAGGCAGTTCTCAGGGGGTTCAGAGCCAGAGGAGGAAGATCTTGATTTGCTTTTGTCTAAAATAATTGGATAACTTGCAAGGCTGATAAACTCCAGACTTTTTTGGTAGAAGACTGGATTAACAAAACAAAAGTTTAACTATAGCAAACTCCATTTTGCTGATGCCAGGATGAGAAAGACTTTAGAGGAGGTGAAAATGAAATGTACATTACAGCTCAACCATTTTGGTGGTAGGCAGCCAGCTTCACGGTGTGTGTGTGTGTGTGTGTGTGTGTGTCATATGTGAGTGTGTGTGTGTTCCCAGTGTTTATGTGTGTAGTTCAGCAAATGAAAACTGGCCCTTGATATCCAGAATGCAGGGGCAATGTCATATATGCAACTTGATAATATATAAATTAAATGTTAACTCAATGTTTAAATACTATTTTTGGTGTCACAGATATGCTGGAATATCTGTACTTATTTCTTCTTGGGTTCTTCTCTCTACGTCTTTGTGAATTAAGACACAGATAGGACCTTGGCTACATTTTTGCCTTTTTTTGACTCTGTAAATAGAGAGAAAAGGTGCTTCATCAGTGCCACCATCAGCCTCTTCCCCGGGCAGCGTGGCAAGGTCTCCAACCTCTTTTTGCTGTCCCTCCAAGTTATGGCTCTCAAACACATTACAAATCTGTGTCACATTCAGATGAAAGGATTTCAGCCAGAAAGAATGGGAACTAGGATTTAAAATGCCTATGAAAATAGGATAGCCCATTTAATGACTCAATTTGACCAATATTTAAAAGACACTAATGTGAGACTATCCATACTACCCACTTGCCTGGCCGGGTGCAAACCTCACCAAAAGAGAGGGGAGGAGAATGTGCGTTTCTAAAGGAG